GATTGGCCCTGTGCTGATCACATGCACTCTCCCAAGAAAAAAAAACAACCTCTCTAGCAATACACACTAAACTGAGCATGTGCAGAGTGTCTCCACACAATATGTCTTATCAGGAGATAAGAAGGGGAGGATCTGAGAAGTCAGGATCAAACAGCATTTTTACACAATGCAAAGTATTAACCCCTTAGGTTCCACAGTGATTATAACAAGCATGCTTTACTACATATACAGACTGATTTTACTGTCGTGGGTTTAGTAACACTTTCACTGAGCGACCTACATCCCCATCCCCTACTTCACTTTTATTAATGAAATTATGCGATTATTGAGCAAAAGTATACAATAAAACCTGAAGATAAAACAGAGGGACATAATCCTTTTTTTTTTGTAACAAGACCCATTTTGAACCTTTTTAAAAGCTCTAGAGCCTATTGCACAAGCCTCAGCTGAAATCAGAAACTAAATGTCACTGCCACTCCCTAAATCCATTCTCAGTATTATCAAGATTAAAGACACAATACCCCAGTAATCTGAACAGACAGTGCATATGTTAACATACCTTTCATGTCCATGTTTCCCTCTACTCTTTTTGAAAGTTCCGTAGTCCAAGACGTTGGAGTGGCAGTTGAATTCTTTTCAGAGCTGTTTGGGCTACTGTTATAAGTGGGTTTCTGCTGTTTCCTGCAGAGTTTTCATGTTTGTAAGTGAAAAATAAGAGTTTGTACTCATAAAATGAATGCTCTTGCATAGAACATGTTGCATTCCTGCTCTCAGTGCAGTACTGCTGTGAAATGGGCAGATAATGTAGCCAAACCAGCTCCTCTGCTCTGAACAGTCATGCCTACGATGACAGAGGAAGCAGCGTATCTGCACAATACACAACTACCCAGGAAATGTGCAGCAGGTGGACTTTGATTGGGAACCTCCTTTAGTTCTGGGTTGCCAGGAAAAATTCTTGCAAAAGATTTGATAGGTTTAGTCACAGAATAGCTCAGGTTATGTATTGAGAAATAAAAAAAGTATTACCCTGTGAGCTTACGTCCTCATGCACACGGGACGTTTTGATAACGCTGGTAACGTTAGCTGTGTAAAGTCACGTTAAACATTTGAGTTTTTTAGCGTGTTTGCATTATTATTATTATTATACAGGATTTTATATTGTGCCAACAGTTTTCGCTGCGCTTTACAAAATGCAGGTAGACATTACAGTTACAATACAATTTGGTACAAGAGGAAACAGAGGACCCTGCTCGTTAGAGCTTACAATCTAGGAGGAATTAGTGTTTTGCTGCGTTTAGCGGCGCTTTCCCGCGTTTGTGTTTTTTAGCAGGTTTTTTTTTGGTAAAATAAAATCCAAAAATACCGGTTTGCAGAGTTTTAACGCATTTTGCCACGTTTTTCAGCATTTTTCAGCATTTTTCAGCATTAGAGCATTTTTACAGCTAAAAAAAACTCCTCTAGAAACCCACTAGTCCTGGGTTTTTGTTCCAGCCAAAATACATTGATTACAGTCTATGTGTGCATGGACACATAGGATAACATGCTGGGGAGTTTACTGGCTGTAGAAAAAAATGTCAAAAGCCAAAAACAGCAGCTGCAAAAGGGGTGGACTGACAACTCAAGGGGCCCCCGGGCAACAAGGGATCATGGGGCCCCTGTGCCCTCGCCCACACACAAACCACACCCAAAAAAGCCTATGAAAAGGTACCAGGGGCATCTCATGGGGCCCCCTACTGACCCTGGGCCCTCGGGTGCCCAAGTTCCCAAATGGTCAGTCTGCCCCTGCTGCAAAAACATCCAGTGTTCATGAGGACTTAGAATGCCAGTTTACATACCTGTTCTACAGGACAAGGTATAAGGAAGCAGTTAGTTTATTGGAAATTTTTGTTGTGCGGCTGACAAATGATGATATCAGAGCAAATTGGCTTTAACCATACGAACTAGTCAGATAGTCCACTTAGGGAAAATATTTCTAGATAGGCAGATGCTAACTTTTACTTTAACCACTTGCCCTCCAAAAGATTTAGCCCTTTTCCTGACCTAGCCATTTTTTGCAATACGGCGCTGCATTACTTTAAATGACAATTGCAGTCTTTCAACGCTGTACCCAAATTAAATTTATGTCCTTTTTTCCTACACAAATAGAGCTTTTTTGGTGGTATTTGATCACCTTTACTTTTTGCACTATAAACAAAAAAAATAATTAAAAATTTTGAAAAAAAACAATATTTTTTATTTTTCTGCTATAAAACACATCCAATAAAAAAAATTTAAAAATCTAATTTCTTTATAAAATTAGGCCAAAATGTATTCTGCTACATATGTTTGGTAAAATAAATTCCAGTAATTGTATATTGATTAGTCTGTGCAAAAGTTATAGCGTCTACAAACTATGATACATATACTGGAATTTTATTTATTTTATACTAGTAATGGCGTCGATCAGCAACTTATAGCGGGACTGTGATATTGCGGCGGACATTTTTACACTAACTGACACTAAATGACACTTTGTGGGAACCAGTGACACTAATACAATGCTAAAAATATACACTAATCACTGTACTAATGACACTAGTTGGGAAGGGGTTAACATCTAGGGTGATCAAAGGGTTAAGTGTGTGCCTAGCTATGTGCTTGGTGTACACTAGATGGTGCTTTTTTACTATGGGAAGTGATGGATCTTGTTCTCTGCTCTGCAGAAACCCAAAATTCATGACTCCCCCCTGTCACTGTATCTATGTGAACATAGATATAGCTTTGTTCTTCCTCCCTGATCAATGATCTGCAGGTGCTGGTGAGCAACTGCTGACCCAGGCTTGTAGACTGGTTTGTGCTGTGACATTTCACAGCAGAAGGGATCCTCCGGAGGCGCACGCACAACCTCGTGTGGCATAAGTGCAAAATCACACACACACACACATATATATATATATATATATAGATATATATAAAATACAGGATTTATATAGCGCCAACAGTTTGCTCAGCGCTTTACAATAAAAAGGGAGACAATACAGCAACAATACAGTTCAAAACAAGAGGGAAAGGAGGGCCCTGCTCCTTGGAGCTTACAATCTGTGTTTTGTTTTATTTAGCAAAAAAAAAAAACTCAGTGGTGATTAAATACCACCAAAAGAAAGCTCTATTTGTGTGAAAAAAATGATAAACATTTAATATGGGTACAGTGTTGCATGACCGCACAATTGTCATTCAAAGTGCAACAGCGCTGAAAGCTGAAAATTGGCCTGGACAGGAAGGGGGTATAAGTGCCCAGTAGGCAAGTGGTTAAACAACCTACCTGCTGAGTTCCTTCAAAATATATGTGCAAGTGTATCTAGAAGAATCAATGCTGTTTCAGCATGGATGGGGTGAGGGTGGGCCTTGGGATACGCCAAAACTAGCAGAAATGCAATAGAGGACACTAGGAACTTAACTGTTCCTTCGGGGTGTGCAAGGAAACAATACAAAGAGAACAGGATACTTTTTAACACACGTACATAGTACAACAGGCACATATCAAGCATATGATATTTTGGGGTAACACTTTAAATTTCAGTGATTACTTGCTTTTCATTAGCATATCATGAATATGAAATGTTGGGGTAACATACATTTTAACCACATCCCTGCTGCCCTATAGCAGATATACTGCTACATGGCGGGATGGGTGTGCAAAATCACGTATATATACGTGTGGGTAGGGAGGTGCGGGTAGGGGGCGCGCCCTACCCACACCGCCGTTCGCCGCAACGGCTGGCAGTTATCGGGTCCCAGCCAGTGATTACCTGCCGGCGCCTGGTGATTTCCAAGGATCTCCAACAGGGAGGAGGGCTACTTTGTTTACTAACAGTCCTCCTCCCTGTCGGCTCGGGCACACTGCTTTGGATGCCTGTGCACAGCCATCCAGACCAGGGTGCTTACAGTAAAGCACCAATACACCACCCCCCAGTAAAACACTCCCAGCACACAGTTAACCCTTTAATCGCCCATCATGGTAACCGCTTCGTGCCCCGTGCCATTAGTACAGTGTCAGTGCTTTTTTTTAGCACTGATCACTGTATTGGTGTCACTGAGGATGTCAGTGACACCAAGTCAGTTCCCTCCAGTGTCAGAATGCCCACCGCAGTCCCGCTATAAGTTGCTGATCGCCACCATGATTAGTAAAAAAAAAAAAATTCCAGTATCTATATCGCCATTTGTAAACACTAGAACTTTCAAATAAACCCATTAATTTACACATATTGGGTATTTTTTTTTTAGCAAAGACATGTAGCAGAATACATTTTGGCCAAAATTTATAATGAAATTTGATTTTTAAAATTCTGTTACTGGACATGTTTAATAAATAAAAGTCAAATATATTGGGTTTTTTTTCTCAAAATTGTCAGTCTTTTTTTTTGTTTTATAGCACAAAAAATAAAAAAAAACGCACAGGCGATCAGATACCACCAAAAGAAAGCTCAATTAGTGGGAAAAAAGGACATAAATTTAATTTGGGTGCAAAGTTGCATGACCGTGCAATTGTCAGTTAAAGTAATGCAGCGCCGTAACACAAAAAATGGCCTGGTCAGGAAGGGAGGGGGTAAATCCTCAGGAGGGCAAGTGGTTAAAGTGTTACTTAACCCACAACAGTAAAATCAGTCTGTATATGCAGTAAAGCATGCTTGTTATACTCTCTGGGGAACAGGTTAATCCTCTGCCTTTTGTAAAAAGGATGTTTGATCTTGTCTCCCCTTCTCCCACAGTCCCCAATCCATCTGCAAGCTGCACATGTTCAGTTTGGTGCAGGGGCAGACTGACAACTCATGGGGCCCCCAGGCAATAGGGGATTATGGGGCCCCTGTGTCCTTGCCCAAACTCAAAAAAAGCCTATGAAAAAGGTACCAGGGGCATCTCATGGGCCCCCTACTGACCCAGGGCCCTCCGGCAGTGCCCAAGTTTCCAAATGGTCAGTCAGCCCCTGGTTTGGTGTATTGATTTGCTGTTTCTTTGTGCATGTGATCAGCACAGGGTCAATCAGCACTGTCCAGAGAGAGGGTCAGGGGTCCTGCAGCCTCATAGGACAATCAGGGGTGAATGAAAACTCCTCCTACAAGCTTTAACCAGTGCTCTGCTGGACACTGAAATAAGTCACAAGACTGCTCTAACTTCTGATGAGAAAAGGTATTTAGCAGTTTGCATTTACTAAAATAATTGCTTTTCCATGTTGTGTGTACTGTGAGAGACCAGATATAGTGAAAGCAGGGTCCGGGGTTTTGTAGCACTTTAAGTCTGAATGGGTCCTGAATGTTTCAAGAGCAAAATAGGTGTGTTAATGTATACCAGTGTTTCTCAACTCCAGTCCTCATGGACCCCCGACAGGTCATGTTTTCAGGATTTCCCTCAGATGAAACAGCTGTGGTAATTACTAAGGCAGTGAAACTGATCAAATCACCTGTGCAAAATAATGGAAATCCTGAAAACATGACCTGTTGGGGGTCCATGAGGACTGGAATTGAGAAACACTGATGTATACCAATATACAGCATATCAAAGCATGTTAATAATACATACAATAATTGCAGGTGAACACACAAGCAAGGGCGGACTGACAACTCATTGGGCCCCTGGGCAATAGGGGATCATGGGGCCCTGTGTCCTTGCCCAAACTCAAAAAAGCCTATGAAAAAGGTACCAGAGGCATCTCATGGTGCCCCCTACTGACCCCAGGCAGTGCCTGAGTTTCCAAATGGTCAGTCCGCCCCTGAGCACAAGTATTAATACACATTTACTACATCTGTATGGGTGTAGTTTGTTGTTTTAGGTTGTTATTTTCCATTTCATCCATTCTGCCTGTACAATATAAATGTACCTGCTCAGCATATGTCCATAGACACAGGTCCTTCAACACTACACAGCTCCAAGTTGGTTAAACAATCCTATTAAAAGCAAAGTTAAATAATTAGCTTGTCTTGTATTTACTATTCAAAGATTAACTTGGATTTTGGTACTTTGCCTCACTGTGACTCTTTAATATGACATGCTTTGTGAGGTATTAAAACCATTAGAACGATTAGTTCAGCAAAATGGTTTAACTGGAAGGAATTGGCAGGAGAATCCTAAATACCAACCAAAATCTGCATAATGCAGACAGAGATGCACCAGATCAAATTTCAGTAATACCTTATTCAAAATGTATGCATCAGTGACAAAATATTGTGAAATAACAAATTTACAGTAATCCCTGACTTTGTAGCAGTTTTCACCAGCATCAAGCTAGAGCTGTACATGGGATTTTTTGATTAAGCAACTAAAAAAAAAAAAAAAAACCATAATAGAAGTACTGAGCCATCATGAACAATTTTCTGCTATTGTTGTCTATGTGACCAATTGCTAAGTGACTGTGTGCAGTTTTGTGGAAGAAAACAATCACTACCGCCTGGAGCATTGTGCTACTGCCTTTTACTTACTGTGCTATTAATTGTATAATCACACACCTAAAAATTGCCCTTTTACCAAATAAAAAGTTACAAGGACGTTGTAACTACCCAAATGCAACTAAAATGACATCAATTGTTTATGTAATACAGTAGTAAATGGTTCTTATGTGGTTCTCTTCATTGCCACAATTATTCAACCCCTTAAAGACTACCACTCTGAAAGAACAGAGGTTCATACAGGTGCTTTCCATCAGGTATTGAAAACACCTGTGGATGTCACCGAGCAGCAATCAAGCATAATAAGCACCAATTAGGCAGCTTTAAAAATGACTGTGATACACTCAGCTCCTTCTAGACATTTACTGGGTGTGGTTACAAACATGGTGAAGGCAAGAGAATGGTCCGGAAGACAAGAGAAGAGGTGATTTCTCTTCACCGGAAGGCAATGGCTATAAGAAGATTGCAAAGATGTTAAACATACCAAGAGACACCTTAGGAAGCATCATGTCGCAAATTCAAGGCAAAGGCACTGTTGAAACGCTACCTGGTCGTGGCAGAAAGAAGATGCTGACTTCGACTGCTGTGGCGCTACCTGAAGCGTAGAGTGGAGAGAAGTCCCCTGTGACTGCTGAGGAACGAGAAAAGATTTGTCAGATGTGGGTACAGAAGTTTCAGCCCAGACAAATAAGACGCACACTGCGTAAATGAAGGCCTCCGTGCCAGAACTCCCAGGCGTACCCCCTTGCTGTCCTCCAAAGAATAAGAAGAGTCGACTGCAGTATGGCCAAAAGCCATGTGGACAAACCCACAAAAGTTGTGGGATAGTGTTCTGTGGACTGATGAAAACAAAATTATTAGAACTGTTTGGGCCCATGGATCAACGCTATGTTTGGAGAGAAGAACAAGGCCTATGTTGAAAAGAACACCTTGCCTACTGTGAAGCATGGTGGAGGGTCAATCATAGGCTTTGGGGCTGTTTTGCTTCTGCAGGTACAGGGAAGCTTCAGCGTGTGCAAGGTACCATGAATTCTCTCTTCAGTACCAGGAGATATTGGATGGAAACGTGATGCAGTCACCCTCTTTCTCACACACCTGAGGCTTGGAGACGTTGGACCTTTCAACAGGACAATGAATCCCAAGCATACCTCCAAGTCCACTAGAGCATGGTTGCAGAGGAAAGGCTGGAACATTTTGAGTGGCCATCGCAGTCACCCAGACTTAATACCGATTGAGAACCTCTGGTGGGACTTAAAGAAAGCAGTTGCAGTGCGCAAGCCTAAGATGTGACTGAACTGGAGGCCTTTGCCCATGAAGAATGGGCGAAGATACCCGTAGATCGCTGCAAGACACTTGTGTCAAGCTATGCTTCACGTTTAAAAGCTGTTATAACTGTAAAAGGATGCTGTACTAAGTACTAAGATTGAATGTCACTTGGGGGTTGAATAAAACTGATAATGCTGTGAGCACAGAAAAGACATTTGTGGTTATTTCATTATAACTGTTTATGTTATATTTGTCTGACCTACAAGTGCCTCTTTAATGTAAATGTAAGCAAGATGACTGAATGATCAAAAGCAATGTCAAACTGGCCAAAACACTCAATTTCAGTGGGGGGTTGAATAAATTTTGGCCACAACTGTATATATATATATATATATATATATATATATATAATATATATATTGTTACCCTTAAAGTATATGTAAAGCCTCTTTTTTTTTAATTTTTAATTTTGGATATAGCATGGAAAAGATTAAGAGCTGTCAGGAAAGGAGAAAATCTCTACAAAGTGAATAAATTCCTCTGTTACTGGAACATGTGTCCCTAAAACGAATTTTCCCATATTTTCAATCTCAAAGGCAATGGTCCTCAGAACAAACAGAACAAATAAAGTGAATCTCCGTAACTATTACACAAACAAAAACTAAACAGGGGTTTTAAACCACCTCTGTCCAACAGTAAAAAAAAAGGTTTTGACTTTAGATACACTTTAATCAATATTGACAGCCAAAAACAATTTTTGTTTTATCATAGCAACAGAGTTTTTGATTGCAATGAGCCATTATAGTTAACATTGCTGCAGACATATGCTACCATGTACCATGCTAGACCTCCAGTCTGTCACTGCCATATAAAGGATACTACAACGACTCTCTCCTCTCTCTTTATATATGTATACACACACATGTATATATACCCTGACATCTATACATTGTAGATTCTCATTGATCGGATTGGGAGGGAGGCACATTCCATTTTTATAGAATGTCATTTTGGCTGTCACACTTTTGGATAGCTGGAGTGGTGCATTAATATATTGGGGTTGAATTACTAAAACTTGAGAGTGCAAAATCCGGTGCAGCTTCCAGGTTTTTTGTCAAAGCTTAATTGAAAAAGCTGAAGTTAGAAGCTGATTGGCTACTATGAGCAGCTGCAACCAGATTTTGCACTCTGCAGTTGTAGCAAATCATCTCCACAGTGTTAAGCCGGCCATACATGGGTCAAATTCTGAAATCATTTTTCTTCAAAAATCATAACTAAGAATTTTCATTAAAATTTTGCACCATAAGTGGGCCGCATCATGGACCAATTTTCATGCAGTCATTGAACTTGAGTAATTGGGCATGTTGGAAATGAAAAAAAAAGATAACTAATTTCTAATCAGTGAGAGAATCGTGCGAGAAAATATAATCGAAAAGAAATGAGCATGAGCAGTGACCTGGAAAGAAAAGAATAATCCCAGCCACGAAAATTATTTTCTGTAGTAACATGAGGTGATATTAAAGGCTGGTTTGGCGAATTTTGAAATCAATGGTGGCACCATCGAATTACAAACACACAAAACTTCTGATTTTCTAAAAAAAGAATTGTTCAGAATTTGACCCATGTGTGGCCTGCCTTATTGTATGGACTTGGTGGACTTTGAGCCACTGGGCAACCATTATGGCAAATAAGGGCGGACTGACTATTTGGACATTGCATGAGGTCTCGGGGTCAGTAGTGGGCCCCATGAGAGGCTCCACAGATGTGATACAGGGACAGCATATTTTCATCTGCCTCAATAATGGACACATTATTCAGACAACAATGTGACTTTGAGCGGGAACTGGCAGGATGGAAATGGATGTGGAGGTCGGGAGAAACGTGTACTCAACATATAACTTATATTGTAAAGTGCTGAGCAAACCGTTGGCGCTATATAAATCCTGTATAATAATAATACCCAATGAGCAGGGGACTGCTGGTGACAGTGGAGTAGAACACCCCCCCCTTCCCCTCTCTCTCCCCCCCTCACTCACTTCCCTCCTTCCTTCTCTCACCCCCCTCCCTCTCTCACTCTCCCCTCATCCCCCCTCTCCTCACTTACCTCCCTTTCACCCCTCTCTGTCTCTCACCTCACTCTCTTTCTCTCACCCCCCCCTCTCTTTTTCTCACCTCTTTTCCTCTCCCACATCCCCCACTATCTCTTTCCCATCTCTGTCACTCTCTTCCTCTTTCTCACCCCCTTCCTCTCTCTCACCCCCCTCTCTCTCTCGCCCCCTCCCTCTCTCTCATCCCTCAATCTCTCACCCCCCCTCTCTCACACCTTTTCTCTCTCTCACCTCCTCCCTCTCACCTCCCTCCCCTCTCTCTCACTACCCTCCCTCTGTCATCTCTCATTTTTCTCTCACTCCCCCCTCTCCCCCACTCTTTCTCTTCCCTCTCTCTCTAACCGCCCTCCCTCTATCTCACTACACCTCTCATCTCCCCTCTCTCTTTTACCCCCCCCCCCACTCTCTCTCTCTTATCCCCTCTCTCTCACCTCCTCTCTCTCAACCCCCCTCTCTCTTTTT